CTTAAGTCAGATCAGTAAATCAAGTTCAGGGTGAGATTTTCAAGTCATTGTCATAGTAACGGTTTCCAGTGTATAAGAGTCAAAATTCCGGGTACCATGGAGGCTTGAAATAAGAGCCACTCAGTCGGGTATACCATGGAGACTTGAAGCTGGAACCGAAACAGTATGAGTTCAGGTAATAACAACCTTTCAAGTCAGTCATGTTACGAATTTTCCAAATCATGATATTCCAAATTGAGGTTTTCAAAGTTCAAGATCAGTTATTCCTTTGTACTTGCGGGACCAGTTGTTACTGGAGCAGCCTTATACAGTGCATAGTCATGAGTCAATGTTCAAGATTTAAAGTTAATGTTCATGATTTAAGGTCGACGTATAATAGTTGTTCAGTCGGGTTAATATGGAGGTCTGCAATAAAGACTATTAATCCAATTCTACCTAGAAACTTGAAGTCGCACCTTATCACGTCAAGTAAATCAGTAAAAGTCATGTTCCAAATTCCGAGACGATTATTTAATCGTCTCGGGATAGCTTTCAGAGTTCAGGTAAAGATGATTCAGTCATATAAAAGTCAAGTCATGATTATTCAGTTATGTGAATATTCAGGCCAGTCATGTCAAAAATCGAGGATAGTCTGTCTAATAAGATAAGACTTATCAGTCATTTCAAGTATGATCAGTGCTTCGATTCTCAAATTTTGCCAATTTGAGAAATCGTAGGAGATATTAATTTAGGATAGACTTTTCTTGAGGTTAAGTTTGACCTCAGGGGAAGGAAAAACAGTTGCAGGTGCCACAGGTTGACATGCGACGCAACGGAGAAATGCCAATCAATAGCAACAGATCATGCCATGATGACAAACCGACGCTTTCCATTCAAGGATGCATGACGCAAGAAGAGAAGGATGCCATGCCTGAGTCACTGTACACTGGGAAATTACGGAGAGTTAGCATTATAGTACATTGAGGTTACTAGCTTAAGGTACAGATATACAGACTACGTCGACGACGCAGGTGCAATGTTCGCCAGGTGCTGTATGCAGGCGTGCCGCACTCACTTGGTGAGTAGCAGGTGTGCCGCAATACGATGTGCCGCGAATGATGTGCCGCGTTATCGAGCAGATGTTCATGAAAGGTAATAACCGATATTACTAGTTATCCTCATTTGTACGCATGCGTATCTCTGGAATCTTCCGAGTGTACCAACGACTGGGGTTTTCCACCATCAGCATTCAGAACGAAGATCAGCAAGCAACCAGGAGATGATGACCAGTACGCTCAAGAATTATGTTATAATCAATGGAGCACATTATTTCAGGAGAGTGTCCATTCTCAGTCAGCAGTGATCAACAATTAACTTAATTGTGAATTGATGACTCCTCAGTTCAGATTAAGTCCATTATTCAGTATTAAATTACTGAATTCTCAAGTCATGTAATCAGTAAGTATGAGCTTTAAGTTAAGCTTGTACGTTCTCGTTTTAATATTTCCGAGGACAGAAATATTTTAAGGGGGGTGGATTGTAACGCCCCGTATCTTATTAATAAAGAAAAATACTAGCTTTTAATTTTAAGCTAGCCTTTGTTAATAGATAATCATGTTCATGTTCAAGTTCAGGTTAATCAGCTAGTTATATTCCAAGTTCGACTATTAGTCGATATATTATTCGGTTTAACTATTCCAGTAACCGAACAAGTTTTCCGATTTAATTCCGATTCGTTTATTAATGAGTCCGGAATTAATTATTCAGTCAGGAATATCCCGTCATGTTAATCATGTATTTAATTCCGATATAATAATATTGTCGAGTATTATTTTCGGAATTAATTATTTTCAGTCGAGATTACCAGAAATTATTTTCGACGTTCTATTTAAGTTCGGAATAATTTTGGTAATTAAGTATTATGCTTAATAATTAATTAAGCATAAGCAAGTGATTAATTACTAATTAATCACAATTAAAGGATGATTAACCGTGAGCAATTGGTTATGGATCAATTTTTCCTCTTTTATTTATCAAAAGCCGTAGCTTTCTTAAGGCTTAGGAAATAATTTTTCCTCTCTTTCAAGTATCTTCACGTGGCATCTTAAGAGGATTTTTGGTCACTAATCATTTTTTTAGCCACTAAGCTTTTAGCAAATGTCAAGATATGGTGAGAACACCAAAACACTACATCACCCCTTTTCCATTGCCGTGCATTTATATAGATGGAGGATGGGAGAAAATTTGGCATCTTCTTGAGCTTATATATATATATATATATATATATATATATATATATGTTAAGTATAGTTGCGTGCAAGTATAGAGAGTAGTGAGAAATTAAGAGAATTTCCTAAGTAAGAACACCGCACGCACGCGAGAAGCTTATAACAACCGCACGCAAGTACCGTACGCACAGAGCTCAGGTTGTTCCAAGCAATAGAGCGATCAGCCGAGGAGTCAAGGAGGTAACATCAATATTCCCTTTATTAAAGTCATGTTAGCTTCGATCAGTTTAATCATGTTTGTAACCGGCTGCAAGCCGTACGGACGTGCGTGTGGCTATAGCGAGTATGTTCCTTTTTTAGTGTGAAATCTCTCGAGCAACTCTGAGTATTTAGTCAATTTATCATGTGTTATGACCAATCAATTTATGTTGTTCGAAGGAATTATTATATTCAGTCATTGAGTTCAGCCGAGGGACGTGGTCGCGCACGTAGCGAGTACCACGGGCGGCTCATAGCCATCGCTTGTGTTAGACAATAAACCTTCGAACCTATCATGTCTATTTATTCAGTAAATATTGGTCATGTTCAGTTGAGTTTGAATTGCCAAGAGAAATTCGTGTTTGGTCGTAGAACGACCTAACGCCGTCGGCGGCACACGGGAGCCCGCCACGGCCATGTTTCACCTTTTGTACAACAATTCATGTTTTAAGTTATTTCAACATGTATGATCATTTCAGGTCAGTTTAAGTCATTTCAAGTTAAAGTGCTCGAGAGTTGTTGCCGGACGGCCAGCAAGGGCCGGCCGTGGCCGCGCTGCCCGAACGTAGC